ACAGCACATTTGAGATATCGTGGAGCGGCAGCCCAGAGCTCAAACATCACCATGTCGGAATATCTCGACGTTGCGTGACGAGTGCTTATACATTTGATACAAACAGTCTCCAGCAATATACCAAGAATGTGTGGCTTGCAGGCCAATGGTCGTGCAATACATTATTGAGTAGGCGGTCATAATATTTTCGCTCTTCAGTGTATATATAAATCTGACAACCCTCATTCTTGTCTGTAGTGATTACCATCTTTTCACAAAATAATAAGTATTTAAATAAATCTAATAAAAAAGTTGTTTGCTGACAACAACAACAACAACAACAAAATATATATATATATATATATATATATATATATATATATATATATTGAGCAAAGCAACTGAACTTTTCAGTAAACTTGTTTCAACAGTAATTACATTTCTGATTACACAGATGGCAGACATGTACAAAGAGAATCCCAAAAAAAAAAAAAAAAAAAAAAAAAAGTCTCTTAGCTTAGTTCCATAGTTACCTATATGAGATAATAGGTCAATAGTACAGAATATATCTTTTTCTCCTTTTTATTACCAAATGCTATAATAAAAGTCCACTAATTCAACACCCCCTTCATTGATACTTCTGTCATTGATGCTACAAGCACTTCATTTGATAAAATGACAGTTACTTCATATTTTGCCAATCACAATTTTGTTTACAATTTTGCATTCATATACCATTTGCTTTTATTTAATTATAATGTTTTCAAACTTTGATAAAAGTGTTGATAATAAAATAAAATGGAAGGATTAGGAATTCACTAGAAGCTGTATAACGTTAATCCAACCTATATATCAAGGAATTATTCAAAACTTTTTTCTGTTCAGAAACTATGTAGAATTTATTAAACTGACTGCAGCATCAAGAACTCCTAGGTTTCAATTCAATGTAAAAGATACAATTTTCACAGTTGGGAAATGAGACCTGGAAACTTTACACTATATACTTGAAAACATGTAAATAACAAGGTTACAAAAGCAAAATTTATGCCCAAAAGCCATTAACAAAAATTCTAACAAAGAGGGTGAAAATATTACCAACTACTGAACTGACTTACTGAAAAAAAACTTTGGTGATTATGTTGTAATCCAGTAAGTGTTGAAGCCACAGATAACAAAAGAAATGAAGATTAATATTAACCAAGATCACTATGCCTTATACCATTGAAGCATTAAATACAATTGTGAAATTCACTAAAAAATTCAAAAACAAATGGACAGTGACTTTATTTAGGAAAAGTTCAAAGCAAAACTAATCAAATAAAGCTGAACTATGTGTAAATTTATATACTGTTTTACTAATTAAATATGATTGCAGAATTACCATATGCATTTTTCACTACTCAGAACATTTAATAATAATAAACACACAAAAAAGGGTTTTGCAGCATTACACCATTTTAGCATAGTAACTGCCTGTTGCTGAAGTCCCAAATGTACTGGCTTATCAGACTTTTCTACTGGATCATCTGCACTCAGCTAACACAAATGTAACTCTCATGAACAAGTTAAATAATGATTGTAACTTTTGTAATTTTGTTCCTGGCAAGAGATGTGTGTAACTGGTGTATTTAATTATGGCAAAGCACACTAGGGCTATCTGCCTAAGGGGAGGGATGTCTTCGTGGAAGACTTTTTAAGGGAAACTGGCTCGTATACACATTACACATGGGGAAAACCACGAAAATGCCCATGCAGCCAGCCCGTTCGCGGAATTTGAACCTCAGACCGAACTACCAGTGTTCAGCGACTTATAGATTTTCCTATAATTCTTAATGTGTAATATTAATTAATATTAGGGCATTCCTGGCAAGAGAAAATCTATATTAATTAATATTACACATTAGGAAAATCTCTTGCCAGGAACAGATTTTCCTAATGTGTAATATAAATACAAACCAGTTTTCCTAAAAACAATCTCCATAAAGGTATGACCATTTTTTAACTTATTACCTTTTCAATTCAGCCAGTTGTGTGTAATTATAATGCCTTTCACATTCACTTAATTGAATAATTTTAAAATAAAAAAAGCAATTTAATAGCAAATGGAAGCTCTAACAAGTTTTCATCATTAAAATCCACCAATTTTCTCGACCTCTTAGTGATTTACAAACCAGTGCTAGAAAACTATTGATTATAAAATATTCTAATGGACTATTCTTTAGAATTATTAGAACAGTAATATATTTTAGAAATTAAGATAAATGCTATATAAATTTAATGAGAGACTAGAATAAATATTTTCACTTGGAAGGTTAAACTATAACCTGAAAGCATAAAACCAAACTGTATACAAACAGTACCAGTGAGAATAAAGTGAATGTAAAAGGCACTATAATTACATACAACTGCATTCTAACATTCACCTTAACACATATAACTTAATAAATATTTTTATAAAGTTTATGTCGCAAAGGAAACAGCAATGCAAATTTTCAAACAGTTCATCATATAATTTAATTCTGATTGCAAATACGAATCTACTATAAGGTTTAAAACTGAGAATTATTTCTACAAATGTTGATAAGCTATGTTACTGATATATAGCTGAATGGTAGTCTTTCATGTTTATGCTATTTCTACAATGTGTAGACATATAAAATTTTGTATAATGAATCATATGTAGTACATAATGAATATAAATATATGAATTTTACACTCCATGTAACATACCTTCAAATGTCTCAACAACTTATTTTACTTTGTTTATATTATTGTTATCTGCCTGCCTCTATGCAGAAGAGTACCAGCTAAAATATTCATCAAACCAAGTTTATTTCTTACTCGTTATTACAAGAGGTCATTCAGAAATACAAAAGCCTAAACTTTTAAAGCTAATTTTTAAGACTGCAAAGTTTATTTCTTAGACAGCTTTTAATGAAGAATACCATATTTACTCATATAACACTCCCCCCCCATTTTTTTTTACTAATTTTATCATACAACAGGAGAAAATTATGCAAACGGGTAAATTTCTGAAGGATGAGGTTACAGTAAGAACATAACGAATGAAAAGTACGTATGGATAAACTATTAGAAACTATTACAATATTATTTATTTAAAAGAAACCTACATTCCAATAAGAATACACAATATTAACATCATAGTATCTAATAAGATATCTTTATTGCTACTTCTTTTTATCTTGAAACTCACCTGCTCTTATTGCTATCCATTGCTACTTCCTAAGCCATAAATCATTGTGCTATTGTCTGTGCCATTTGCTTTCTATGCCATCACATTGTAGGTATCATTTTCATCAAATTTCAGTCTGTCTTACCCTATTGTAATGATTTTTAGAACCATCAAAAGTATTAGATATCCTTGTTTTCTTGAAGCTCTTTGGTATAACTGCTTCATCAATTATAACCCATGGACCCAAAATCCAAAAGCAAATTAATGTGAAATGAAAAAATCTGCTCCATGGACAAATCTATTTTAAAATTTAGTGAAGCTCGCTTTCAGAAAGCTTGAGGAAGGAGAAAATTACATGAAAAACACAAGTAAATATGGTAATCTAAATGTTATTAGATTGACAATACATTAGTATTTTTTATGCCTTTCAATGCTAATTCATTTGAGTTCCAATTTCATCTCATTTAAGCTAGTTATTTAAGCAATGGCTGAATCCATGAAGACCAAATGGTATTTTCATAGTTTTCTTCATACATAATACAAATTTGCATCTTAATTTTAAAATAGGTATTCTCATAATAACAAAAATGTATACAAACTGAATGTGATCAAAACTGCTCCCACCACATTTGGTATATATATTAAAGAATAAAAAGGTTATATATGAAATAGTTCAACTTTTAATTCCAAATAAAAAACAATTTAATTTTCTCTGAAAAACATTTTCAATTACTAAAAATTTAATAGCAGATGGAAGCTCCAATAAATTTTCATCATTACAATCCACCAATTTTCTCAACTGACTTCAGAATTTTTCTTCCCAGAGGCAGATGGTATTTCCCCTTAATTATTGATGAATAATTTACAAATGAGTATAAGAAACTCCTTAATGATTTACAAATCAGTGCTAGAGAACTATTAATTATAAAATATTCTAATGGACTATTCTTTAGAATTATTAGAACTGAGTAACATATTTTATAAATTAAGATAAATGCTATATAAATTTATTGAGAGACTAGAATAAATATTTTCACTTGGAGGGTTAAACTATAACTTGAAAACATGAAACAAAACTGTATACAAACAGTACTTGGAATTAACCAGTGAGAATAAAATAAGCATTGGCACTAACTTTATTCATTAAGTCTAAGGGCTAGAGTTTGTTGATATTCTATATTTCCCAAGAGACCTTACCAAAGTCCGTTAAGTTGCCAAGTGGCTGTGGAATGTGTTATCTTGAAAACTGTTACTATTTCAGGTAGCTGAATAGACTTATCTGCAAGAGGGTTCTTTTATGAATAAACTAAATGCAAACATTTCTATACAAAAGATTGACCAAGTTTAATTAAGGTGAAGCATATCAAGGCAGGCAGCCTCAGTATTTTCTGTCCCAAACGAATCTGGCTGAGAATTCAAATATTGTCAATACGTATACACACAAACTTAGCCCAGAAGGGCTATTAATTTCATTTGGTCATTTTGCGTTGATTCACTTTTCAAATTGCTACCACCAAATATTATCACCCTGTGTTATATTTAAAGAAATTAAATAATGAAGAATCTGCATAAATGCACGAATGTTTCTTGCATTGTACTGAAACAACAGTACCTAGAGCCATCGAATTCTGAATAACGTTATCCTCCACCGAATATAAGCATCTGGAAGCCCTAATTTGGAATTTGTTTTATTATCGATTTCAAAGTGAGCAGTGGCAACACTGTACCAGGAGGGGAAACATTTTTATTTCCAGTGTGCGAGACTGTGTATCAGAAATTCTAAACATATATGCTCACTTCAAAATTATTTTACGATATTGCTGTTGGATTCAATTTTATGGTTTAGTGCAAAGAACATGATATTTAATAAATAAAGGCAACACACATCCCTTTGGACGTAATGTAAAATCTGAAAGCTTTCAAATTTTGTTTATAGTAATTATTTTTGTCATATAATATTTGCACTGTTTAAAGTTTCCATTAAGCCTTATAACTACAAAGAATAATAACTCAAAAAGCATTATATTCTTACTAAACACAATTCTGCCAATTTTCAGTAACCTTTCAATAATAATTACTGATTCACATTTATTAGATACATTACTAAATATTCTTAGAATGTTTATGATCAACATTTTTTAAACAAACTTTTTTTTTCCAATTTTCCAAAACAACTTTGTTTTTCTCAGTTTTTGTTCAAATAGTTGGCTTTACAACAAGTTTTTTCTACATTTCTCAATGAAATTTTGTAAAATAGTACATAATAATTGATTTCTTGAATGGAAGTATGTCACTCTCAAAAAGTATGTAGCTGAATTCTACAATTAAAATTTACTATTCAATTTTGTCTGATTTGTTTGCTCCTAAGTTCTATAGCTACATTAATGAAACATTATTTACTCCCATGTTCTGTTCCTGGGAAATGAACTGGCTGGTTGAATGGAGTTTTTTCATGACTTTTCACATTCATACTTACAGTGGTTTACCTTGATGATGTTTTGTTGATATACTGTTGGAGATATTTTTTCCAGTTCTCACCAGTTCCTTAGAGAATCTCATAAAAGTCCTGACATTTAAGAAATCCAAAAGGTAAATTTCTTTTTATTTGACAGATATGAAGAGAAAAATGCTTTACTATAATCAAGTAATTCTTATGAACAATTCTGGAAACTGCAAAATGTAAATAAACTTCCAATTATGTGGAATGTATCACTGTGGGAGAAACTACTAGCAATGTTCACTTTTACTCTCACTGGATAAATTCAATACATTCAACTAATTATGAACAACTCTGTTACATAACACTGCCTAACCAAAATATAAAAAATGTACTAATTACACATAATAAGCTCTAAATTTAAATAAATATAAGAAATATACAATTTTTACAATAAAATTTCTCACTTTCTAATGTAAAACCCAATTTAATAAATAAGAGTACATTGTGTCAACTATAATCATTAAGATCGGTTTCTGTTTGGAGATCATTGCTTAATAAAGAGTTTGAATTTGTTGTATGAATAGAGTCAACAGATATTGATGGTGCATTAGCAACTACAGGTTCATCTTCATTAGTGTCAAAATGTAAATCACCATAAGTTATATCAGAAGGTAAGGCTATATGTGTCAAGTCTGAGCTAGAAACCAATGTCCCATGTGTTGGAATGATTTCAATATGAGCAGTGGGTATATCATCTGCTATTTCAGATGTACTATCAATTTCTTGCTCTTTGAAACTCTCAGACAAATTTTCCAATTCAAGGTGTTTCTTTGGTCTTCCTCTTTTTTTGACACAATTTCCATTTTTCATAACCTGACAATTTAAGCTTCTTTTTCTCTGTCGCCGAAACCGAAAATTGTGTACAAAATCTTTCCTTTTTTTAGTGAATACAGACTTGTTATTTTTATGTGCTTTAGCATCATCAGAATCTGATAATGAGACAGAGCAGTTGTTTTTATCTGGTGATAGTTCTTCACAAATTAATTTAAGATCTGATTCATCATGGTTTTGTTTTACATGATCTCGGAGGTGAGCTTTCCGTGTAAAGTTTTTACCACATGTTTTGCACGTGAAAGGTTTTATGCAACTGTGAGTTAATATATGCGATTTTAACTTATCAGGTCGGTTGAATTCCTTTGGACAGCCACAGTGTGTCCGGAAAGGGCATTTGTATCGTTTCACTGGTTCGTGAATGAGCAGATGACGTTTAAGCTTATCTTTTCGATTGAATGCTGCCTTGCATGTGTTGCACTCGTATGGTTTGTCTTCGCTATGAACCAGCATGTGAACTTTTAAGTAGCTTTCAGTTTTAAAACCTTTTGAGCAAATACTGCACGTGAAAGATTCAGACTCTGAGTGGATTTGCAGATGTCGACGCAAATAACGTTCGCATGGAAATACCTTATCACACCAGGAACACGAATAGGTATGCGATGAAGTGGCAAGATGATGGTCCAAAGCAGCTGGAGTTGAGTACTTATTCAGACAAAGATTGCATCTGAAAAATCTAGAAAAGGAAAAATATGCAATTACACCATTATAATGCCTCACAACTTTAATAACATCAAAATAAAGGAAAAAATCAACATATTATTACTAGGAAGTTAACAATACATCCAATCCATAATTCTGAAAACTAGCAGCATTACTGTAAATAATAATAATAAAAAATATAATATATGATGTACTATCATAAAGAGTCACACAGCTTTATGTACTTCTCCCTCTAGTAATTAGGAAATATAAAGCCTTCCTATTAATTAAAAACTCTTATTATGCATTTCGTTTCTTTAAATAGGCTTATACTAATCTATTTAATAAAATATTGTTTACCTATTTTACCTTTTTAAAGAAAGTTTCAGAATTGCTTTTTCTCATTTTGGTTTACAATCTGAACAAAATTAATAAAAATTGTATAATTATAGAAAACCCTAAAATGAATATATACCTGAAACAGCATGAATCTCTACACTGTAAACTTGAAATTCAAGGTTAGAATTTTAAATAACATTCATGCTGGGCTTGCCAGAGACCTCAATGGCCTAGCAGTAAAAGCACTGACATCATGCTAATGTACTGTTTCTTACTGATGTTATTGCTTATTTAACTTTTTATAAAGTTAGTCCTTAACGACATTTCATCTAGCAGATGGTTTTAAAAATAGCTCTCAAGAAAACTTATCTGTTCTGTTATTATTTTCTTCCTTTATGTTGGATTCTACATCTTGTTCAATACCCAACCAATTTTCACCTGCACCTAAATTTTTTTTGGCCTTATAGAATATAGCATGAAGGTTTTTGTATAACTTATGAGTTTGGTTTACTGTGCTGTGGCAAAGCACCTGGCTTATTAAAATGAGAAATGCATTCATAGAGGACTTTTTAAGGAAAACTGACTCATATGCACATTACACAAGGGAAAAAAACCACAAAAATGCTCATGTAACAAGCCATTCATCAGGATTCTAACCGAGGTCGAACTACCAGAGTTCAGTAAATTTACAGCTTGGATGCTGGTGGTGCTCTATATGTAATTTATGAGATGATTTTGCTACTTTTTTTAGTACTAAAACTTGTTTATTGAATTTAAACATACACTAGATGAAAATGTAGATTCATCTTATATTTTGGACAATATAGGAGACATATTTTTATGAATGTTAACTATGTATGATTTTTCCTCAAAATTTTTAAGCATTTGCATGAGGCCATCATTTATTCAGCATACAATCATTTCATTTATCATATTTCAAAATAAAATAAATAAATTAAAGAATTAATACTTAAAAAATGCAGCATGTTTATTCTTATCATTACTTCAAAGTAAAATGCTATCACGAAATATCATAAAGGAAGTAATTTAAATACTGATAATATTATTGAGAATTTAAGCCTAGAATTTTTTGGGTGGAAGGCTCATTTTCAAGAGTTTCACGTTCCCCTATCATGTACATATTCATTTTAAGGCTCTCAATATTCAGAATTTGGAAGAAATTGATGAACTTTATGTCTTGCTTCTCTTGTTAAGGCTTCATTTCAGCTCAACATTAACAAAACACCATGTGATATGTTTTGCACTTTGAATCATTGAAATACAGGGTTAAAGAAATAGAGCAAATACTAAGAATAACTACATAATAAAAAGTGAAAGAAATATTATGCTCACATTATAAAAATGCACAGCCAAAGAAAAAAAAAAATTCATTGATCACATACCTACGAGTTGTTCGTGACCGTAGGTTCGGATACAGACTGTGAGTGAACTGATGAGAACCAAGATCATACAAAGAAGGAAAATTTCTGTTACATTCATGACACCTGTATGTCATCTCATTTTCATGTGACTTTGTATGCTCCAGGAAAGGATCGAGATCACTAAACATCTGCCCACAACTACTAAGAATGCACTTGTACACCTAATTAAAAACCCAGAAAGAATTGCAAAAAATTAATCTACAAGTATCGTGTATTTGGATGTAAAAATATTTGCACACAAGGAACAAATTTTTAATACACATACTTTTACTTTTTATGTAACTTACAGAAGAACAAATAATATAATTCTTTTCATTAAAAAATATTTCACAGCAGTAACTGCGTTATCAGAAACCTTGTCCACAGTCATAAAGGCTCAATAACTTTGTAGTGCTATTGTTTAATGGTGTACTTAACTAATATCAAATTAGACAAGACCTTCAGTTCATAGTGAACATAAAATGAGACAGCAAAGGATAACAAGTTATGACATTATAGGATCCGTAGATGTGGAAGTAGGTGAATAATGGGGAGGGGATGCTCCAAAATGTGCTTGAACATATCTGAGCATTGGATCATAACAAGTCTTATGAATTTCTGTTAGCAACATTCTTATATGCAAATGTGTTGCAGTAGCTATAAAATGAAGTAGTGGATGAATTTAAAGCAGAGTGGTTGAGCACGTTATTCTACAAAGGCTATTTAGTCATGTGGATAAAAACAACTTTATTCTACAAGCACAATTTGGTGTTTAGAAAAAACATTCAACTGTATATTGGCTGTTGCACTGGGTCATGGTTTTGATTTCTTGTGGTCTTCAGGAAAATAAACACTAGAGAGGTCTTTCTTGAATGTAGCAAAGGCATTTGATCATGTTCAGCTGGTGTGCTTCACATACAAACTCAAAAACCTGACCTTCTCAGGATACATTATCCACTCCTAACTTACTGATAAAACTTTGCCATTCTTGTTAACAATACATACTCTGCAAGTCACTCGGTTACGGTCAGCATATTACAAAGGTCCTTGCTTGGCCCACTGCTATTTCATATTTATACCAATGACATCCTACACATGCAGAACACAACATTAGTCATGTATGCAGTTAACACAAAAATTGTTGCATAAAATGCTTCTGTTAGCTCACTGAAAAAAGCATTACAAAACCGCCTACACAGCAATTGTTGCATAAAAGGCTTCTGTTAGCTCAGTTTAAAAAGCAGTACAAAACCACCTACATGCATTAGAGATCTGGGTGCAAGCATGGAAAATAAAAATCAGTGTCGAATCGGATGCAATTACGTTCACTAGGAAGAGAAACACTTGAAATGACCGCATCTCAATGTACGAGACTTTTATACCCAGGTCCAAGAAAGTTCAGTAATTAAGTATTACTTTACATTCTGACTGCATATGGTCACCCCACATTAAACACATTTTATCCAAGTTCCCAGTGCATAAAGCTACATTACATCGCCTAATGGGCTGCAGCAGCGTTCTTTCAGTTGAAATTAAATTACTCATCTATAAAGCCATATTACCCATTACGGTGGATGCTTGTTAACATTAGAACTATGGCAACGGTCATTTTGACTGTATCTCCATTTTAATTGGACATAACTTTTTAAAATTCTTCATTCATAACTGATATTTTTTGACTTTTTCTAAAAACTTACGAACATTACATGATAACTGTTTTGTCCAATTTAAATAATTATTTTTGCCTATTTATACCTAGAATTACCGCTATCAGTCATTTTGATTGTATCCAGAAAATTGCATATTTCTCATAATTTTTCTGACTTTTTAGCTATTTTTAGATTGCTGATAGATAAACAAGTGTACTTTGGTAAGGAATACTGCATATTTTACAGAAAAGAGTGGGGAGGAGAGGAGGTGCAGAATAAAAACACCTGGTTGGAATTTTTGCGAGCTACGTGTCTGCGCATTGCCCTTGTGTTAGAAAAGTTATTTTTTAATAGATGCAAATGTACTTCACTTCATTTAGATAGTTTTGTTGTTCTGACCAGTTTATCATGTAGCGTAGAAACGCTGGTAGAAAATATCTAATGAAGAAAGAGGTGCTGAAAGTTTTTGAAAGTCTTTCTCATGATAATTCTGCTTCAGAAACCAAACCTGATGAAGAATTTCATACCAAAACTACATTCAATTTATCCAATGAGGACTGGATTGTTGCTACTGAAACAAATGAAACTGAGTCGTCTGGAGAATCTGTTCACAAAACAGAAAAGGAAAGTAAAAATTTAGATCAAGAAAATATTACATTGCCTTCTACTAGTATAGTTTTCAGGAAGTGAAATAGATGGCAGTAGTCAAGCTCGAGAACGAGGAACATGTAACAAAAACAAGGAAATTCAAAATGCTAAAGAAACAGTTAATGAGGGTTCAGTTTGGAAAATATTAAATATTTCGACAAGTGTTACAGGGATATGTCCTCAACAGAATGTCTTACGAGAAGAAGCTGGGCCAACTTCGTACGCAAAGAGAAAAATAATTGATGGTAACTCAAGTAGTGCATTGAAGAAGAGGCACGTATGAAATCCCAAAATTCAGTTTGCCACTCAATGAATTAGATGCTTTCATTTCACTGTTGTATGTTCGTGGTGCTTTACCTGCAAGAGGTCTTTCTATTTTGAGTTTATGGTGAATACCTTGGAGCCTGCCATTTTTCACTGAGACAATGGCTAAAGACAGATTTATGGAAAATATGAAATATTTGCGCTTCGACATGAAATCAACTAGATCCCAAAGACTTCAAACTGATCCATTTTCCCTTGTTTCGGATATCTGGAATGCTTTTATAGAAAGCTGCTTGAAATGTTATAAACAATGCCAATGAATGCATGGATAATTTACAAGGAAACAACTGAATATAGGAATATCAGCCATTATAATTTTATTTTTCATAAGGCTGAAGAGCTTTGCAAGATGTACATTTCATGCAAAATTCCCAAACTTTCTGTATCTAACGAAAAGAGAAATGGTACTTGTGCCAACCCTTCCCATAAGCATAAACAATGCCAAATAAATGCATGCAGAGGGAATAAAACTTTGAATATGTGTGAACAGTGTAAAAATATGCTGTGGAACTTTACAGGTAAAATTTAAAAAATATTAATTTGTATGCACTGCAAAACTGAGTAATGTAAGTACTAATATGTGTAATTTTCAATATATTTATTTCATAGTGAAAATTTTTATGAGGCTATTGAAAAGAAGTTTAAAAGTATCTAGAGTGTTTTTTTTTTTTTTTCCTTCTCTTTTAGCTCTTTATTACATTAAATTATCTTTTGAGTGCATGTATTTACTCACTTTAATTTATTTACTCATTAAACAAGCAAAATATATAATTATAAGCATTAACTTTACATAATAATAACCAAAAGCAACCTCTTTACTCTATTCAGAACAAACAGTCAAAATGACAACTGATCGCAGTTATAGGTATACGACAACTGCTGTAATGTTAGTGTTAATTTGAATTAATCCAAAGGCCCTCAGAAACTTGTATTGGAATTAATGTTAAAAATATCTCATTAATTCAAACTAAATGCTTATCAATAAATCTAATCTGAACTAAAAATTTGACAAAAATAATTTCTTTTCCCTCATTTAACGGAAAAATACACTGTGTATTTCATATTTCGTGTGTCAAAATCATCTGTATTTCTTTTTTTGCGTAAACAGGCACGTGCCTGCTTTCCTAGACTATTGCATTTTCACTACACATTAGTGGCTATTGTCCTACTGTCCACCTCTTATGAGTACTTAATGGACAAAGCTCCCTGGCCAGTTTCTTTGGATTCATTTAGAATCCTTTATGAATGGGTAAGGGTAAGGGAAGAATCATTTGTTTATTTGTTATCAATTTTCTTAGAATTTAAGAAAAACTAGTCTTTACTACAGATGCTAGAGAGCTGTGTCAGTTATGCCTGCAGTACAGACAAGTTAATGTGCTCTGTTTTTTCTTCCTTAGTGTGTGTGGTATGAACGTGTAAAAACTTAACATGTCTACACGTGGAGGCGAATGTAAAACAAAGTTAGCAGCTGACTATGCAATTAACCCTTTGAAGGGCACCAGTATATAATATAAACTGGTTGTTTGTCAATTTTTTAACCTAAAAAAAAATGCTAATTTCTCTACACCAAAAGCTATAATCGTAAGTTTCTAGTGTTTCCTATCGATTCTAAATGGCAGCACCACACTATGAATGCTCAACATTTTGCAGTTATGAAATTAATATACCTCGTTTCAAGGTATCATATTTGAAGATTGATAAATTCTATTGGAGGGAAAGAAAAATTCAAAATCTGTAAATATATGACGTACACATGCAGAACCTTTTACATTTACTGCATTTCAATAAAAACTGCTAATTAAAAGAAGATTATGTATACATTTTTAATACCGGTATATATCACCTACTGAGGGTACCTTTAATACTGGTATATATTTTTTAATACCGGTATATATCACCTACTGAGGGTACCTTGCCAATAGTTGGGAGCACCAGTCTTCTCCTCTACTGTGTGAGATGACAGCATTTCTTTACATTATAATAGTTTATGATGTAATAATTTGTTTATGATTAACTACAAGCTGTTTAGGATTCAGTATAATATTCATGAAGGGAAGGGGAGTTTAATGACCCTGCACTAGGACTGAATACAAGTATATTTGTTTCTTTTTATTCTTTTTCTTTACTCTGCGAGAGTTTCATTCATCTCTATTTATCTAAAATTTTAACTTCAGCACTTTACCCTTTCCCAACAGAAAGACTCATCGATTTCAAAATTGCCATCTGGGGTCAAAATTTTACACAATTGTAGGGATTAAATGTGGCATGTTAGCCCCTAAAAGACACCCGTTGTTTCGTGTTTTCCAAAATCCTAAAATCCAACGAAAATGAAAGGAGGTGATTGACAACTGATTTGTCATTCGGGAGTCACACCTTCTTCCCTTGGTGTGATGAGATCACACAAAGAGAATGCTCATTTAAAAATACGGGAAATGGAAGTGCACTTACGGTCTCATCTCTTAGTGTAATCACAAAAACTGCTGATTTGAAAGAATGCTTTTATTCTTATCGCCTTTGTTAATTTCAGATGAAAGACTAGGGAATGCAAGATAAATTTAGGGTTAGGTTACAAATAGAGACAAATTTCCGAGGTTGTTTTTTAAATAAATTTCACAGTTGGTGAAATGAGGGAAAATATTTTTAAGGCCCGTTTTTCTGTTTTTCAGCTGTTATATCTCCTTATTAATAGTGTCTGAGTTTACTTCATGTCAAATTGCATCTAGCTGATTATCTCCTTTTCGTAGTTTTTTAAGATTTCAAAAATGAGAATTCAGGACTCTTTGACAGTTTGTTAAATTGGGCTAACACATTTCCATGGGAAAATTGTGTCCGCTCAGAAGGACAGAATTTAAAGAAATTTTATGCTTACTATAAGTAGCAATGAATCTCTTTAATCTGATTATTTTATGGTCCACCATATCCCATGAACCAACATGTTTTGAATCTCCTGTCGTTTATTTGCAATGTGCTACCAGAGTGGCATGTTTAGAACTTTTAGGATTGAAAATCTATTATTCACATCATGTCCAATCTTCTGGTTTTATAATTCTGTTAAAAATACTATGTTGATTCTCTATTATAGCCCTTCAAGATTAAGAATGAACATCCGTATCCATAAAGACATTATTGAGCACTACATGGTCAGATTGCGAAATACGCATGATTCAAAGATACAAAATAAGATTTTTTTTTTTTTTTTTGCTTTTGGACCGAAAATAAAAAGTCATAAATGTTGTTCAGAAGTGATAAAGTAACATATTTTCCATTCTAAGCATCATTCTATCTTTGATACCAATAGCATATCTGAAAAGAACCAGCAAACTACTGAATTTAAGAAATGTAACCTTTATTTCAGCAAATTAAATATCGAAACAATCAAGTGAAGAACTGAAATACATTAACATAGTCTTGTATGAGCCTGTATTCTACATAACTGTTAGATATCTAAAAGATCCCACACTCTTTATCACCTCAACTAAGAGCAGGACAAACCCAGTATGAAAAAATCCAGTTATAGGGAAGAAAGAGAACCAGGCATCAGTACAAGTACTAATGGGTAAAGTGAAATTGCATGTACACAGAATTTCCAGAGTTTTTTACTTATATATAGTAAAAGCATGTTTCTGTTTTAAATTTCAGTGAAATTGATATCTGAAGATTTTGACTCATTTTTTCCAGCATTAAGCAGTTTTTCATTTCTTTCAAATATGGCTTTATTTTTTTGTAAGGGTTTCTAATTCAATTGGTTTATAATGGCAATAATGTTATTCCCACTGCAATTCAATTTTTAATTTTTCTCACTTGTTTTCCTTCATCATCAAAGAGAACAATTTTCTTTGACCAAGGGTAATGAATTACTTATTAAGTATGAATACATTTACATTTATGCTTTTACAGCAAAATATAATCAATATAATCAATCAAATATCTAAGAACATTATAAAAATTTACTTTATTTATTATTGTGAAACAAAAGTACAGGGAACAACTCATTAATTAAATTAAACTTAGGTTTATAATGAGATGGTTAGGCAACATATCATCCTGTATGTTAAAACAATTCCCAATCAGAAGAGGCTTTAAACAACCTTTTTATTAAAGCTTGTGATTACAAAACAATTGCTGCTACTTGAAGGATTTAATCTACAGAAGATATAAATTAACATTCAAAGTAATTTAATGCTAGAAATCCACAAAGCAAAATTCTAACGTGCTTTGACTCAGACTTTTCTAACTGCAAAAGCAAACTCAATTAGCAAATGGCTAATGTTGTTTTAGAGTAATTCTCAGACCTGGATAAGAAAATATTACAAAGGTCTGTGTCGCTGCTAAAGATTCAAGAATTCTGTTCTTACCTATGTATTTCTGTTCTTTTACACAGCTAAGCTGCATCCCTAGTGGGAGCTGACAAAAGCAGAACTGACAGTACAAATAAAATAGTGGGTTAATTAACATAAACCTTACAAATGAAAGAAATGAATACAGAAAACATATATTTAACCTTCAAAAAAGTAGGTAAGGTTTGAAAAAAATATCAACTCTGGAAGAAACTTCAAATGAAATTTATAGCAGTACTTTATCCATAATAAAAATTACTCCTTTGGTATCTCAAAAGAAAACCATGGAGCTTAGAATTATGCTGAATTGAAATAGTTACTTAGCATGATGCACTAGCCGATAGCATGGGCAGCTACCAAAAATAATTGTTATAAAAAAAGATATTTTTGTTTCTATAAAAATATAGATATAAACAATTGAATTGTTAAGGAATCTAATGAGTTTAGTGAATGTAATTTGATGAGACAAGAAATAAATTAATAATAATAGAAGAAAAAAAAAACTGCACTTCTTTCTTTTAAATTGCTTAGTTTTTTCATCAATAACAGAAAGGTTCATTAGAAAGAAAAATTAAACAGCTTAGGTTTTATTAAATGGCAAAGCATTTGTACTTGGAAGATAGAAATATTTTATTTCAGGAAGTGGTAACACATTTCTGTTAAATTGCTGAGTTATCTGATTAAATTTGAAACATAAATATTTTATGCTTTGCTGCTTGGCAGCATACTGCTTTTAAGCTGCTGAGTTTGTTAATCAAAAATTAATTAAATTTGCACAAAATATAAATTAAATCAAAATTCAAGCTTTGAGGTGCATGTTTGGGTGGAGAATTGTGTGTTCCAAAATTGGTGGCTCTACGTGACAGACTTTTCCACAATGTGAGGAACACATATACATCTAGATTTTTCATTATTTAATAATAGATACAATAACCCAATGCAGTAACTTTTAAACTGCATTAATTGTTTCTGAAGGGTAACTGCATAAGAAAACAATGAACAACAACTCAGTCACTTATATGTGATGACAGTTATGGGTTCATAAAATTGTGACAAGTAAGAGCTGAGTAATATGTTTTGTTCAAGAAAAAAGATTACAGTAACTCTTTATTTGCTTTCTTTTTAAGACAGATAATTTCTATTTATAGATTGCTATTTAAAATATAAACTTGTTATTAAAAAAAGAGAGAGAGAGAGATCCATAAAAAAAAAAAAAAAAAAAAAAAAACCTTCCACTTCTTGTAAATTGCTTCAGATCTTTCTGACCACTTTTCAGTGGCGTAGTGAGCATAACTGGTGCCTGGGGCAGGAGCCCCCCCCAAAATACTTAACAATAATATGATGTATAGAATACATTAGCAATAAGATAATAATGCAAATAATAAAATGCTAATTCTGCCATAAAACACTAAAATATATTAAGAATAGTCACTACCAAACTAAACTAGCATTGAATTCGGAAATGTATCTGTGTAGGCGGAATAATTAGACATACGATGATCTAGAATCAGTTAAAAAGGTATTTATTTTACATATTTATATAATTGTTTTTAAAAAAGTACAATTTTTAAACGCTTAAAAGTTTAATATATATTATAGATAAGTAGATATATTTATTAATAATAATAAATATTATAATACATTAATACAATTAATAACTATGTATACATTTTTCTTGCCTTAGATAAAGGAAATTTTGCAATTACTTCATCAAAGTCGATCATTTCAAATTTTTCTCTTTCCACATTTAAAAATGCTACATGACTTAAGGGATCTTGTCCCACCGTTGATTGTAAATAGTCAAAATTTATTTAAATTTGCTTTTTGAATGTACACATTTGATAATGGAGTATTTGCAGTGCGACTCTTAGGTTTGGAAAAACATTTTCTCTATAGATCTGTAATGGAGTTTTAGGTTCAATTTCTTTTCTACTGTGGAGTAATATCTTGCAGTCACATTCACTGCTAAAAAAAATTAGGGGATATTGTGAGTTCGGCATGAAATAACATATAATCGACAACCATTTTAACAAAAAGAAATAGAAGAGATTATAAAGGAAAATTATAACCTTTGCAAAATATGCAAGATGTACTGCAAACATTTTATCAGACAAACCAAAAAATAAATAATTAATTATATTATAATTATTAATTTAAAATATATTTTCCAGAAATCGATCAAAATAAAATCTGAAATTTTCTGGAAAATCTTGTTTGGCGAGCGCCGCTCTGGGCATCATACACCCCCTTGCCCCCCTCGTTATGCCATTGCCACTTTTCATGCCACAGTCTTCCCAAATGAGCGGAAATTCAGCATTTAATTCCTGTATTATATCACACATTATATTGCCTTTTTTTTAAAGAGGAAAGTTTTTGCAATTATATTTTCGTCACACATTAATTTTATTCTGCTTTGTTCATTTATATACCAGAATTTATCTAGTCATTTCACTAAAAATCACTGCATGAGAATCCATAAAATCCAAATCAACCAAGTCCCTGAGATGTCTGAAGTTTTTAACTTTTCACCCAATCAACAGTTAACATATTAAATGTTTTCTTAATACTTGAAATCAGATTAAAACATAAGAAAATTAACAAACTGGGGAAGATGGATTTCTGATCAAAGGGAAGTAATATGAAAATTATTTTAAAGACAAAAGATGAAATGTATATTCAAAATATAAGATCAAAAGATTATGTCAGACAGTCAACAAATACAAAATAATTCAAATATGATCTTGAAAAAAATATAAAAAAACTAACTTTTTCAGTATCATGCTGCTTCATATGGCTTTTCAATTTATAGTAGCTTTTACCAATATATTTACAATATGGACAGGCATATGAACTTTTGTCTACTTCTCCAGAGCCAATTTTCTCCAGTTCATTAGCCTAATAAAAGAGAAAAATAATATACAAATCCAATAATGTTTAATATACATACAGATAAGGTTATTTGTTATATAATTAAAATGGATTTTGTTAATATTTTGCTATAATTTAAAACAATCCCATTTTATCAAAATTCATTTTGATTTGCATCAGCCTTCGATATTAGACATTATTTCAATCCATTATAAAATCTAAGAGATACCAAGCATCTATAGTAGTTATATAAAAAGAAGAGACATATTAATTAGTTTGAGTTAATATTATTTACAGAAAAACATATAACCTTAAAGAAATGTTTGACCATTTTTATAAATGACTATTCTTGCAGAATTTTTTAATTTGACAAATAAAACATGCATCTTCAGGTTTCTACATGCACAAAATTACAAAAAACATGCAAAATGTATTAATTACCAAATTAATGAAACATCAAAGTATATCGGCCATTTAAAAAAAAATCATACACAGGGCAATAATAACATTACTAAAAAATCTACACTTTAATATGATTATTTAAAGGAAAAACTAAAGATTTATAAATGAAGAAATCTAACTGTGCATGCAGAGTGTGTTTATATGTCAGAAGAGAATACATTACTAGATTTTGTTTCTTTTAACTTCAGCAAAACTTAATTCAAGTCATGTTAAAATTAGTGTGTTTTGGCTATACAATATTTTATAAATTTTAAATTAAACTATATTGCTGTTACACATACAAATGTTGTACACGCATTACATATACAAAATACATAATGTATACACTGCAGAAAAAAAGGGGGCCAGTTCTATATCTCCCATTCTACCAGGCCGCTTGACGAAATTCAAATTGCGTTTTCCATGTCTCGAAAGTGCGACTTAAGATATGTATTAGATTCACATACAGCTTTGTTCTAATATACGTATTCTGACACAAAATAGGACTTTTCTGAAATAACATACCAATTTTTTTTTCCATATTTTAATTCTACGACTCAAATTATTCTTAAATATTAAATTTCGTAAAATTTCATTCGAAATTTAAGGAGAAATTCAAAAATTTAACTTGCACTTTTTTTTAGTTTGAGCCAAGAATAATTCACTTCGTGAAGTTCTTAATATATAGCATCCTGTTTTCCTTTCCCTTCCATTCTACAGGAGCGCAAATAAATAAATAAATAAAATAAAATAATAATACACATCGTTCCTATCTTTTTACATTACGGATGAGCAGAAAAAAAGTCACGTTGTTCCTATTTTCAAATAATTTTAACAAAGTGTCTAAGCAAAATTTTCATTATTATCTCTTTCAACAAATATGCCAACTTCAAAATTCGTCAATATATAAATTCACACATATTTTCGGAAAGTTTAAATAAAAAGCTCTAATTTTTTGCAGGTATGCTTAGAAACACATCTACTTTAAGATGATTGTAAAAAACTTTATAGGTTATAATTCAAAATTTTTTTCGAAAACTTTATAAAAATTATTTAAAAATAAATCATAAAAAATAGCTCAATTTTATTTGGAATGAACCTAAATTTGAAACTGTGTAAGAAGGAATCAGATAAGCTTCATAAAAAAGTGATATTAATATATACACAACCAAACTGAATTAACATCAAGGAGCTAAAATTTTGAGAGCTAATTTTTTAAAAACTTTTCATCCAGTTTTTACAAAACTTTGCAGTTTGGCATAATTTAAGTCATAGAATTGAAATATGGAAAAAAATTGGCATGTCATTTCAGAAAAAGTCCAATTTTGTGTCAAAATACCTATACAGTACAAAGTCCAAAATCCGGACTCGTCAGGACTTGGATTCCGAATTGGATTTTTCCGGATATTAGATCATGTTTAAATCTAGTAAGATGGCATGTAGAAATTATAAAATTAAAACTAAATCGTGATTTATGAAATAGTGAAGTATTTATGATCTAAAGAGTTTCAAAAATTGAAAAAAAAAAAAAAAAAAAAAAAAAAAAAAAAAAAGGAGAGAGAGAGCTTAACAGTTATTTGTTTACCTTATTAAACATTTCTTTCAATTTAAATTGTTTAAGTTGCTTCGTTTTTTGTGCAAATACTTTCTCTTTAATTCTGTAGACAGACATAATCTCTTGTCTAGTTATATTGTTGAAGTCCTGCAACTGCTGTTTCGAGAATTCCGACTATTGTCAATCGAAATTTTCTCGTTTTCAGTAACTTCTCTGTCACTTTCTTCACTATCGGTAGTGCTATTTTCTGGATCTAGAACCATACTACAAATTTCACCATTCATTAACTAATTGATGATTGAGAAGCACTGTCATCACAATGAAAAACTTCTTTTATATCATTTTCATTTATGCTTCTCTACATTTCTTTACAAAATCCGCAAACTTTAAAATTAGTGGCTATCAGCATCAAATTTAGCTATCTTTCACTATACATATTTGGCTATGCATCATGGGCTTGGCATAGCCAAATATGTATAGTGATATTAAACTAATGACAAGTTGTTCCATTAAATTTTATCTTGCTTCTATCGCGCACTGAGACAATTAAGCCTGAATTGTATTAGTTATTTATTATACTTATGTCTATTTCTTGCACATGCTTAAGGCTTATCAGAGTTCTGAATAAATAAATTCCCACATATACTTAAGCCTTATTGAGGCCAGTGCTAAATATCTTACTGCCTGATGCAGTTTCTGTGGGCCCTAAATTCTGCGACTTGGTGTGGCCATAAGAGCCCTCGTGCTGGTTCTGGGTTTATGTGAATAACAAATCAGTTTCTATTTATTCAAATAGCCCTAAATGTAATCTTTGAGTCTATGAGTATCAATAACAAAATCTATTTTTAGCATATGGAAAGAAACATTTGGTAAATTTCTTCTCCTCAGCCAAGCGTAATGGCAACATAAAAGGTTACCATACTTCTTTATTATTCCATTACTGACATAAAAAAAAAATGTTTAGGGATTGCTACATGAGTCATTACTCAAGTTGTCATGTTTTGATAAACATGCGGTGATGAAAGGAAAGTATAATAAATAATGATTCGCCAGCTTGGCATCAAATCAACAATGTATCTAAGTGGAATGTTTCGGTTTGAGATGTATGCCAAGCAGATATGCAGCAATGGAGCCAAATTGCTGATCATACAAATTTATGCTAAAATGATTGTTTCTTCAATAACAAGGTATTTTATTAGTCCAAAGGGATTTGAATCCCGAAGGACTATTAGTTTCGTTTTGGCATTTTGCGTCGGACGGATAAATGTCAGTTCACTTTTCAAACTGTTGCCATAAAATGTTAGAGTCCTGCATTATATTTGAAGAAATTAAATAATGAAAATCTGCATAAATGTATGTATATTTCTCACATTGTCATAAAATAACGGTACATAGAGTCATCGAATTTTGAATAACGTAATCCTCCAACGAATATGAGCATGTGGAAGACCAAATTTGAAATTTGAAATTTGTTTTATGATCGATTTCCTATTTTTTAAAAGTTTGACGAATTTTTGATTAACAAACTCAATGATTTCAAAGCGAGCAATGGCAACGTTGTGCAGAAAAAACATTTTTATCTCCAGCGCGTGAGTCTCTGTATCGGAAATTCTAAAGATATGCTCGTTTTAAAACTATTTTGCGATATTGCTGTTGCACTGGATCTTGTGGTTTAAGTGCGAGGAACATGATATTTAATAAAGAAAGGTAACACACAAAACGTTAAAAAACGCCCCTTTGGACGTAATTTAAAATCTGAAACATTTCAGATTTTTTTTTTTTTTTTTAGTGTTGAAGTGAAATTAAGAATCCAGATTTTTATTATGCGCATGTGCAAAGCCTACGAGAAAAACTTTGGTGGTGGTTTTGAGGACTGGATTTTAGATCATTCAGGATAATGGGCGTCTAGATTTAGGACTTTGTACTGTATTTAAACAATGCTATATATAAAAATAATACATATCCTAAGTCGTGCTTTTGAGACATGTAAAATGCAATTTGAATTTCGTCAATCGGTCCAGTAGAACAGAAGATATAGAACTGTTCCCTTTTTTTTTAGTGCAGTGTACATATGCATTGTGTTGTTACATATAAAAATATATTACTATATTATAAGTAATGGATAATGATTACTAATAAATTTAAAAAAAAAGAAAAATCTAAATACATTTTTTAGATCTGGAGCATCTGGACAGGAATTTTCATTGGTCATTTCACCATCTTCACTGCAAGAAGAATTGCTTTTTGGAGGTAACTGGGGTAATGTTCTTGAAAGTCCATCAGGCCACACCTTAAAAAAATTTATGAAAACTAAAGGAACAGTACATAATCTGAACTTTAATGAAAAACAGAAAATAAAGTTAAATATTAATTTTTTACTAATGTACATAAATATATAGCAATAGAAAATCTCTAACAAAATTCCTGCAAATATATAGTGCATCCATAAAGTCATGGTGCTCCTTTTGACCAGTCACAGGAAAGCAACAAAACAAGATAGAAATGTGAAATCTTCACCAAACAAAAGGAAAACTCTCCAAGTTTCTGTAGTTTTATGTGCAAGCATGTGCGCAAACAGGTGATGACACAGCACCACAAACCGCGAAGGAGCAGATCAGCCCACCCATGCCAGTCGAGATGTGGACCGTACAGAGGTAAGTTCAGTGTTTTCTGTGGCTTGCCAAATTCGAATCCGTGACCAAAATGCAACGTGAATATCGTAATGTGTACAACGAACTGCCATAGAAATATAAATAACATTAATCGGTGGGATACACAGTTAAAGGATACCAGCAGTTTGTTGGATAAACTCCATTTTGGCAGGCCATCGGTTAGTGATGAGTCAATAGAGGCTATAATGAAGAGTTACCTAAGAAGCCCTTACAAATTTCAGCTGTTGCATGCTATCAAACCGAGGGATAGACCCAAACAATTTGCGTTTGCTACAGATATGCTTCATGAGGTCGACAGTGATAACCGATTTCTGCTGAAGATTGTGTTTAGTGATGAGGCGACATTTCCTGTTAGTGGACATGTTCATCGCCACAACATCCGAATATGGGCTGCTGAAAATCCTCATGCCCACATAGAGTACGAATGCAACAGCCCTAAAGTGAACGTGTGGTGAGGCCTGATGCATGATAAAGCGATACGACCATTTTTCTTTGCAGAGTGGACTGTGACGGCATGCATGGAGCCCACATCGAACCGCACTGTGAATAGGTATGAAACTTAGAGATTTTCTTTTGTTTGGTGAGGATTTCGCATTTCTATCTTGTTTGTTGCTTTCCTGTGACCGATCAAAAGTGCATCATGACTTTAAGGACACACTGTATATATAAAAATTATCTATACATTAAAATAAATACAGTTGAATCCAGTTAATTGGACCACCGCATGATCAAACCAGCAGCTTTTTCGGACGAAATCCTAAAGAATCGAAACAAATCCTATGTACAATAGTCTCATATTATTTGCTTATTTGGACCAAAATTCTCTTTAATCAGACCAAAAAACGTGAGAGTGAATAAGAAACAGAAGCCACAAGTCGGCCGCGTACAGTGGATGTACAGGTGGTCTGCGACGTATGGGAGGATCTGTAGTTGCGGCTCCCCACGAAAATGCTTATCAAAGGTCAGGAATTCCTTAAAGTACATGACAAAAGCAAAACTAGTGGGAGGTGAACATGCACACCATTTTCTTTGACCTGCACCTCCGAGTTTCGAGGAAATGAACAATAGAGTGTCCTGAAAGGAATTCCCGCCTATCAATGATGATTAAAGTTTACACGAGAAAGCTATCATTTCATCACCTTTTTGGGATGAATGATGAGCACTTTATCTCTCTCTTGACCTCATTTTGAAACCGAAACACCAAGGTTTCTTCAGACCAATTTAGTCAGTGAAACTGTGCACATGTCTTGTCTCCCCTGCCAAAATGGCACAAAGGGATTTGACGTTAGCTGAAAAAATTGGTTTCCTGGATAAGAACAAGCAACAACCATGAAACACTAGTCAGCATCGGTTGGTGGAAATAACCGGATTGGCAAAGACTACAATTTCGTGCTTGATAAAACAAAAGAATAAGCTGAAAAGAAGAATGGGCACAATGTGAAGGACGAGGAGGAACTTCCAAAAAATGGAAGCATGAAGGCAAGGATTCAGATGTTGATGAGGCCCTTAATTAATGGTTTGCTGTTATTACTAAACAGTTTGTGCGAGTAAGCGGCCCAATGTTAAAGTGCAAAGCAGAACTTGCTAAAAAGCTGGGCCACAATGACTTTAAAGCTACGGACAGTTGGCTGTCTCGATGGAAATCTAGACATGACAATGCTATTTATTTTCTGAATCCTTTGCTAAATGTGTAATAATTTACACAAATATTATTCATATTATTAAAAAAGATATTAATATATTTGTTTCGAAAAGTATTTAATTTTACTATTTCTTGACAAAATTATTTCAACTCATTTTTTTAAAATTTATGCTACCTAATAAAATTCTTTACCAAATTTCAAATATTCTTTATATTTGTAACATGCAATCAACAGAAATTAATTTACTCTAAAATATTTGAATACAATGTATTCATAAATCTGTCAATTAAGAAATTTAAACAATCTAATCACAAATTAGAAATCACCTTTATTATATTTTGAAATCTTGCTTATTTTAATAGTTGGTTATATTATTAAGTTCATGCAAATAAAGTAATAAAAGTAAATATTCATTCCATTGAATAAATTTCCCAGATATTTTTGTATAAACCAGACAGAGCAAAAATCAAGTTTAAAACTCTATTACATAATTTCATATCTCAATTTTTGGAGTTTCATTACTAGTAGAAAGCTAAAATTCACTTGGCATATCAGGTGTATCTTCTCGAATTTTATCATATTTCAGCTGAAGTACAGAATCACTAATACAAATATCACAGCAATCAAAATAAAATTATATCAGACATTTCTTTTTATGGAACAGACTTTATTAAAAGTTTTTAATTAATAAGAGTCTTTAATTAATATAAAGTCTTAATAATTTGATATTAATAGTCAATTTAACAATTACTAGCACAGAATTAAATAATAGGGAATTTTAGGATAGATACTGTTTAAAAGTAAACTTACATAAAAACATATTCGTAATTTGGAATACTACAATACAAAATAATCATAAAATATTTTTAAATGCAATAAATTTAGATAATTTAAAAAAATTCTCTCTTTTCCCAAAAGAAAAGGAGGACCAATTTTATTTACATGCCAAAAGTATTCAAATAGTTTTCTATTTTTAGCTAGGTTTCTAAGTATCAGTTTAATTATTAATTTAACACATTTGGGGCAGAAGAGTATGATCACAGTTAAAAAAAAGAGCAAACTTCTGAACACAAGGAACTAATCATGTCAATTGCAAGGAAAAAAATAAAAAAATAACTTTTTTTTTTTTTTTTTTTTTTTTGTTTCATTTTGCAATTTCACCCATTCCAAAAATGGCTTTATGATTCCCAAAATGATAAAAGTAAAATAACTGCTGGTAAGTTATCAGATTAGTCTTGTAATGATAGCAAACTTTCAAAGAATGACAATAATTACTTAAATACGATGCTTTCCCAATGAAATACCACCAACATAACATATATTTAGAAGTCGGTGCAAATGATTCAGATATTGAAGATAAACTGGAGATTGAAAATAACGAAACCCCAAATGAGGTAATGTTTTTAGGTGAAGCAGGTGTGTCAACCTTCTTATGATAATTCAAATTAATAATGTTAATAAATCATCAAGTGAATTAATAGTGGTAATGATTAGATTTGCTCGCTACACATTCAAATGTGTTGAAAATCCTGCTTGCGAAGTGCTGACTTAAATTTGAAGAATCAATGAAACAAAATTACAACAGATTTGAAAGAGAACTCCTTGACAAAATGAAATAAGAATATAAACTTCCTTCCATTTTACATTAAAATGATTTTTTTAATGCATATAAGTAATTGGGGAAAAAATACAATTTACTTTATGTGTCTGCATGTGTTTCTTCACATTTGATTTTTGTGCAAATGCTCTGCCACATACGATACACTGGAATGGTTTCTCTCCAGTATGACAGCGTATATGTTGCTGAAGATCAAAATTCTTCGTGAAAGATTTCCAGCAATAGGCACAGTTTAATTTATGATCCTGTAAACAGATAAGTATTAGATGAATAAACATTCAAAAATTTTGAAATAAAACAAAATTAGGAAAATCTTTGTACTTGAATTTCTATGTTTAAAATTTACAAGTAATGTAAATAACACAAGTGCGTAAGTAGTTCAAGATCAAATGAATACATTTTAGTACATTCAGAGAGCGAACACATATTTTGATAATGCTGTTGTATATGATCTGCCACTAAAATAGTATTTTTAAAAAAGAAAACATATACAAACAATTAAGAATACATGAATGAAAATGATTCCATTAATTTCATTTACAACCCATTAACTTACTATTTCCATAAAATTTTAATTCCTTTCAATTTTAGAAAATAAAAGCAAGATGACCGTTAAAAGGCAGTTATTATAATTCAGCCATATATATCAGGAATGTGGTTCAACATTAAAAAAAATCATCATTTTTACTAACAGATTGCCACCATACTTCTGCAAGATAATGGGGAAGCATTTGCAAGTACAGTCAAAAGTCGTTAATTCGGACACCCATAATCCGGACCTCAAAGCTACAAACTTTCTGTGCATGCATCGCATTGACGCATGTGCGCAAGACCTTTATGGCTGCGCATATGCGTGTGCACATGAACATAATACGTTTACGCATGCGCTTTTAATGTACGAGGATAACGGACAGTATAAGCTAAAATTATCTAATTATATATTTCAGTTAATGTTGCAGATTGCGTTGTTCCTTAATCTTCAAATTGGATCCGACTTATTATTTTTTTAACAAAATGTGGAATTGCTGCAAAAAACGGATGAAGGCATATCCTTTGTTTCTGTAACCATTCCGAAATCTGTTTATGAATTTCACGCTGCTCTGCGGCGGCGTGGGGGGCGGGGGCGCCGCGGCACACAATTAATTGGAAGTTGATCTGTCAGCACTATCCTTATCTTCAGGGCAGATGTTTTTATTTTATTTGGCTTACAATTCCTTATTAAACGTAGTATTTCCTCTTGATGTACTCCGTCTTTGAGATAATTTAAATCAAATTCCTTGTCATTATAATTCGCTTCCGATAGTGAAGAAAGTGACACAGAGGTTATTGAAAACGAAAAAATTTCGATTCACAAATTAGTCAGTATTCTTGACGCAGCAATTATAGGACTTGAACAGCAGAACTTTGTAACTGAACAAGAAATTATGTCTGTTTATAGAATTAAAGAGAAAATATTATCACATAAAATGAAGCAACTTAACCAACTTACATTGAAAGAAATGTTTAATAAAGTAAACAAATAAATATTAAGCTTTTTTTTTTTTTTTTTTTTTTTTTTTTTTGGTAAATTTTGATACCCCTTAGGTTTAGATCATAATTGTTCTTTACTTCATAAATTACGGTTTCATATTTTTAATTTTATAATTTCTGCATGCCATCTTACCAGATTTAAACTGATGATCTATAATCCGGAACTGCCGAAGTCCCGACTAGTCCGGATTAACGACTTTTGACTGTATAATACTAAGCATGTGTATAGTCTTTAGTTTCGAAATCCCCCAACACAATCTAATTGTTTGGGTATTAATACTATCTGCAGAACTCAAAGTTCTTTTGCTGGTTTAAGCTGCATTCACACTGGTCTGTTGGGGCGAAAGCAGCAAGGCGGAAAAAAAACGCTTTTCGCATACGTCAGTTCACACCAACCTTCACTTTAAAAGCTGTCATATGCTCGCACTAAATGGTTCTTCATATCAGAAACCTGAGGAAAAACGCTAAATTTTTGTGTGGTATTTTGACTTTTTACAATTACATTTTAAAATGAAAATGGATTTAATTTCTGCTTGATTAAAACTTATTTTACTTCTTGCTTTGTGTAAGAGAAGCAGAATGCAGTGGTTTATATTAATATGTTAAAAATGACTGCAGCAAGGAGATGCAAATAATTTAATTGAAGAAATATGCTTGAACGAAACGAAATTTCTTTTAATTACTTCTGCATTACACCTCATCAATTCGATGAATTTCTAGTCCTCATTGAACTATTTATTCAAAAGAAGAAGACTATTTTTTTGTCAGAATATCGCAGGAAAGAATCATTTGGAAGATGGAAATAGGATATCACATAAAAAGATCGTTGTATACAGTACAAAGTCTGTAGTCCAGACGTCCATTATCCGGAATAATCTACAATCCGGACCTCAAAACCACAATTTTTTTTTATGCTTTATGCATGCACATTTAATGTTACGCATGCACATTTAATGTTTACGCATGTGCATTTAGCACAAAAAACGAAGCAAATTAAACAACTTACATTGAAAGAAATGTTTAATAAAGTAAACAAATAAATATTAAACCCCCTTTTTTTTTTGTAAATTTTGATACCCTTTAGATCATAATTGCTCTTTATTTCATAAATTATGGTTTCATATTTTTAATTGTATAATTTCTGCATGTCATCTTACTAGATTTAAATTGATGATCTATAATCAGGAATCGCTGAAGTCCCGACGAGTCCGGATTACAGACTTTGTACTGTATATCTAATTTAATTTATTTATGAATTTTGTAGAATGATAACTAAAAAATCTTAATTGCATGATTCTATTTTTTAAAGTAAATTTTTCATGGGATAGAATACCATAAATGGTTTTACATGATGTATGAACTTCCCTTAAAATTTTCCTTAAATGAACTTCCCTTAATTGGTTTAAATAATGCAATAAAAAATTATATTTTGTTTAAATGTATGTTAAGATTTACAGCATTACTAAATAAAATATCGCACTTAAAATCAGCAGTTATTTTTAAGTTAATAAACAACAGTTTTATTAACTTAAAAATGTTTTAGTTTCTGCCTTATGTACATAATTTTACCTTAAATGTAATACAGTCAAAAGTCGTTAATTCGGACACCCATAATCCGGACCTCAAAGCTACAAACTTTCTGCGCATGTGTCGCCTTGACGCATGCACATAGGCGTTTAAGCGTGCGCTTAAGACCTTTATGGCTGCGAATGTGCGTGTGCGCAAATTACATTTACAAATGTTCGTTTAATGATAACAGACAGTATAAGCTAAGCTAAAATTATCTAATTCAGTTAATGTTTCAGATTGCATTGTTCCTTAATCTTCTAATTGGATCCGGCTTATTATTTTTTGCAGACTGTTAGAGCAATTTTATAAAAGTAAGCTTAAACTTTCGATTATATCAAATAGAATTTCCGATATCTATTTGTTAATATGTAAAGGATCTAAAGCGAAAGTATGTTTTGAAATCCGAAATCTGTTTATCAATTTCACGCTGCTCGGCGGGGGGAACGCCGCGACGTAATGAATTGGAAGTCGATTATGTCAAAAAGAATTTCCGATTCTGGAGCTATCAAAGGATCTACAAAGCGAAAGCATGTTCCGATGTCCATTAAACAAAAAGTGGATAAAGGCATATCCTTTGTTTATTTTTAACGGCGCAGCACACAATGAATTGGAAGATGATCTGTCAGCACTATCCTTATCTTCAGGGCAGATGTTTTTAATTTATTTGGCTTATAATTCTTTACTAAATGTATTATTTCATCTTGATGTACTCCGTCTTCGATATGATTTAAATCAAATTCCTCGTCATTATAATTCGTTTCCGATAGCGAAGAAAGTAACAGAAGTTATTGAAAACGAAAAAATTTCGATTGACAAATTAGTCGGTATTCTCGACACAGCAATTACAGGACTTGAACAGCGGAACTTCGTAACTGAACAAGAAATTATGTCTGTTTATAGAATTAAAGAGAATGTATTATCACATAAAAAACGAAACAATTTACATTGAAAGAAATGTTTAATAAAGTAAACAAATAAATATTAAGCTTTTTTTTTTTTTTTTTTTGTAAATTTTGATATCCTTTAGATCATAATTGCTCTTTATTTCATAAATTACGGTTTCATATTTTTAATTTTATAATTTCTGATTGCCATTTTACCAGATTTTAACTGATGATCTAGAATCCGGAATTGCCGAAGTCCCGACGAGTCCGGATTAACGACTTTTGACTGTAGTAACTACTTCAATTAGTCATTCATGTATTAATGAAAAGCCACATCTAAAGGTTTATTAAATAAGGCCACTTTTATGTAAAACTCATTGAAGTAACTTCATTTTATATACTTCTTTTTCCACATTAAAAATTGAATTCCCCAATTAGCAAATTTGCTTATGCTCATGCAAAAGTTCTTTAAATTAATGAAAAATTATTATCAAAATTAAACCTCTGGTTAAGTTCATATATAAATTGTTCAAAAAGTTGCCATGCATGTTAAGAAAAGCAAACATGAAGCCATTAAAATGCAGAGAAGTATTCCATAAATCAGCTACATTCTAATTAGCTTCTTTTTTAAAACAAATAGTTTACTTGTCACCACTCGTTTAACATTTAGAACTTACTAAATTTTTTAATTAGATGAAACAGCAATTTTATACTAATACCAATAACGCTTTTGCTGGTCTCATGTCAGCCTAAATAGAATCAGATCATCTTATGAATTATACCAAAGGCTTGTTGTTAAAAGAAAGTTATTGCACATAATGCCGAGCGAAAATTAGATTTATATGAATGATGAATGAAAATAAATGCAAGCTTCTTGTGCCCCCCCCCAAAAAAAGTCGCGACGGATTAAAAAAAAAAATTGGTATATCCGTACCATTATCAAAAGTAGGAAAAAGCAAGGCCTCAAACCGCAATACAAGTCCCTAGTACAAGCTGAATTTTCTACTTGAGCATGTTACCTCTGCACTAATGTAGCTTGCATTTTTACACTTCACCTTCAGAAAACTGAAAAAGCATCTGGGCTACTCTAAACTAGAGATAATATTTTCTGTAAATACCAGCTTCATTACAATACCACTCTTGGTGACACTTGAATACAAAATCTTTAACTGAAGAAGCCAACATTTTACTCACTAGGCAACAAGAGCAACTTTAAATTGATGTAGATATATTTTAAGAAAAATTTAAAATTTGGGATTTCGAAATCCATCACTATTTTCTCACAACAATCTATTGCTTTAGATTATTCTGTAAAAACTGCCCACCATATATAATTTATGGTTGATTATTAAGGTTTATTACTCCTAATAAACTTGAGAATTTTCCTTTAAATAATTTATAAAGCTATTTATTCTATTAGCATATGCATTTTTTATTATTATCTGTAATTTTTATTAAGATTAGTCCATTTGACTTTTTTTTCCATCAAGAATTTTTGAAAGTGCAATCATTTAAAAACCTTGGTATAAACTGGACATTTGAAACGAGATGCCTGAAACTGATGTGCCAAGCGTTGAAAAGTTAGGTCAACTCATGCGTTCTCCGGTCGTTCGGAAAATGCCGCCTCTGATTGGTCAAAGCTTTCCGCCCAAACTTGTGACCATGCTGGTGTGAACTGGGCTTTACAGTTCAAGGATCCAACCCCTTATAAAATTTTATTAAACAAGGTATCATTTCAAAGTTTTTTTAAGGATTATTTTTTTAGGGCATTAACTATATCTAAACTAAATATACAATCAACTCCCAGCTGACATGTTAAGACTGCTGAATAGTATGAGTTTGACATGGGTTTAATCCTAGGTGAGTGCATTGGCTATATAGTTAGTTTTCATGTTTTCCTGAACATGAATACAAGGCATTTTCTCTCAGAAAGTCCTTCACCACATCATGCCCCCTTAAGCAGATAGTTCTCGTGTGCTTTGCCATGTTCAAATAATGTAACACAATTAACTCAAGGTATCAAATACACCTTCATAGCTCAAAGTACCATTTGTAGTTATATTAGGTTCAATTAATGAAAAATATTCTACTATATGCAGTCACATTTATGATCATTTTCCCCTCAATCAAATGCATATCACAATTATACGACGTTTCACTTTTCAAAATAAAAATACAGTAAAAAATCATTCTGCCTTTCTATGAAGCTAGAAAACAAAAGGAGTAAATGATAATAGAAAAAAAACATTTCACGTTTTAAACTCATGTTCTGTTACATTTATTATTACAGAATGTTATAAATTTATGAAAATATGTGCTTTATGCAGGCAAATTAAATTATAATGTTAATTTTTAGTATTTTCTAATTAAATGCAGCCTTTCTGAAAAGTCCCAAACATGTTGGCAATTCTTGAAAACATTTATGAATTTGTTGGCAGCTAATTTTTCACCATGCTAAGGCATAAAAGGCAACAGCCACTTTCAAAATGGCAACATACTAAGAATTTTAAATAAATAAATTAAAATAAAAAATAAACATTAATAATAAAACACTTAACTTTATTAATAAAGCCTGTAATTACTTTCACTGTTGCTCTCCTCATGTACACAATGGTCTAATTTTTCTAAAAAAATAGAGAACTGCATAAACTCAACAATGCACACCAAACCAAAATATATTCTATGAACACACCAAGGTCACCAGCTCATCACATAACTATTTTCAGTACATACTGCTTTGCCAAAAGAATACTTTTTTGAAACTTTTCAGTGGAGGTACAGATGATTAGTACTTTATTTTATTTTAATATTATATTGACACAGAACTTATAATGTTAATTATTTTCTTTAAAATATATCATACATTTCCTGCATGTTAAAATCATTACATTTTTGAGACACAAAATTTTCTTATCTAAGGAATATCCTAAATATTCCTTTCACTGAGATATTATTTTCATTTATAATATCTAGTACTTAAATTTTAATGCAATCATCCAAGTAATTTTTTACAGAATAGAAAAAAGGATGATGATTGATAACTGCATTTATCCTGTCCTGGCAGAAATTTTGCAACAGCTGTTTTAAGAATATATTCAAAAGAATTGCTTCCTTTCTTACAAAAAAACATTATATTTCTTACAAATCTTACAAAAAAAAAAAAAAAAAAAAAAAAAAAAAAAATATATATATTTCCACAGAATTTTTACCACCTTTTTCTTTCACTGCAGGCAAATCTCACAAGTGCAGATTTCAAAACTGAGTTTAAAGCAAAAAATATCATGATTTGTTTATGAAAACCATTGGAACTTGGAATACAACAAAAAAGAATGCATATTAAAATGATGATGGTGCAAACGATTATAAGAGTTTAGATTTTGAAAAATCTGCTGATTTCTACTAATGTGGTTGTATTAATATGCCATTTTAAAAACAGAATTAGTTCTGAATAAATAATTATTCTGATTACAAAGACATGACTTATTTTCATTATATTTGTTTTTGCTAGTTAACATGAGCATATAAAGTAGATTCAATTAGTTTTACACTACTTGGCCATAATAGGATGAGTATCTGAATGATGATTATCCATACAAATTAATTTCATAAAACAGATAAGTTTTAAAGAAGAGATCAACATTCTTTAAAGGAAGAAAAAAATGAACAAAAAGAATTTCAGAATGATTTGCCTTTTTTATGCATACAAAAGACAGCACAAACAATCAAATGAATAATTGCAATACATAGACACACACACAAGATTTTTTCAAATAATTTTATCACTGCTAAGCAGATATCATTTTTTTTTTTTTCCCTTTTTATAATGCTGCACACTCAAATTTCATTATGCATTAAGATAGTTTAAGCACTGCTTGGTAATTTGTTACTTATTTACTTACTCCTGAAACTTCTATCACACATTAAAATATTTGAAAAGAACAATTTGTTGTGTTATGTTTGCTTTTTGTCATATGAAGTGAAAACAGCCAACCACTGCGGACCATTTTATGGAGGGGGCTATTAATGTAAAAGCAAACGGATATCCTATAATCACAGAAAATGAAATCCTGATACAGTACAATTTTTTGGCAGTATGAAGAAAAGTATTGTGGCTTTGTCTCAGTGTATATCTGGGGGGGGGGAATGTTTAAAACAGTTCCTTTTCCTAAAACAGGGAAATATGTGATAGCACGACAACCACCACAATTCCAGATAATTTTGTTTTCTATGGAGGTGGGAGTCAGAAAAAGTTTTAGTTGCTGTTATTTTATCATAAAATGTAAACTACAAACGAGCTTCTTCACAATAATAACAATGTTCATAAAACATATCAAATGTTCTAATGTCTAAATAAATAAATAAATAAATAAATAATATAATAATAATAATAATAATAAAAAAAAAAAAAAAGCATATTACGTGAATCTTTTCTTTCTACTTTCTACTTTCTACTGTGATTTGATACTAAGCTTCAGTCTAGTTAAGTCTAGTTAAACTTTTATTTTTAACAATTTATAGCAACTGGTAAAGCAGTTACAATTCTGTAATTTCTCAAATTTCTTACAGCCATAATTTAACTAAATGAATTAGAAATCTTTTTTGGAGGGAGCGGGGTTATGCTGAAAATTATACGTGCCTTTTTACTTTGATTATCTTCATTGTCAGCCTCGGAAGATTTCTTTGTCTTGACCATACTGCTATGAAATTCTGCAATTACATTTACAGTACTTGGTTCTTTCTCACTGTCATTTTGTTCATTATTGTTTAAAGCATCTACAGCTTCAGTTAAGGGTTCAACAACCACACCATTTGTTTTCACAGACTCTGAAGAATTACACAGAACTGACTGAGTTTCAGTTGAATTAGTAATATTCAGCACTAAGCCAGATATGGTACTGTTATGCTGCTGACTAGTTAGAATAAGAGGCCTTGATATGAACTTGTCATTTATGATTGAAAGTTCTACAGTTTGTGGAAGCTGTGTGTCCTGCGTGGTAACTTGTTGAAGAACATGCTGTATTGTAGCCGGAATAGTCTGGGTACTAAATGTAGGTTGAGAAATAAGGCTGTGATTTTGATTCACTTGGATGCTAGGACTGGATACTGGAGCAGTAATAGTTTGATCAATTGCAGATGTCGACAGCTGCAGAAGATCAGCATCAGTTAGGACTAAACTTTGAGAATAATTGGATAATGATGATGAAGGTATCTGGGAAAAAGAAAAAAATATTTTACTTTTCATAAAAATATACCAAATTAAATAATAAAAAACAGTAAAAGATAGCATACCTTAAAAATAATATTCCAAATGAAACAGGGCTAACTTTTTAACAACCTTTCTTTTTATAATAAGATGCAGATAAAAATAAACATTAAATTTGATAAGGACATCTAGTCAAGATTACTTCATGGATTATTAGAAAAGTCTAGATTACTATTTATAATTGTGTTAACTAGTTTAGAGTGAAGAATGACAAAACAACCGAAAAAAAGTTTTTTTTGCCTAAAATGAAATGAAATCAACATAATGAATAATTTCTTAAAAAAATTTTCATCCTTTTTCATTATACTATAATATTAATAGTATTTTATTACATTTTGAAAACACTGCACTTACACTTCATATATGAATTTTGGTTCTGGAAAAACTGATGGATAAAAAGAAAAGAAAGAATCAAGATGCAGTACTTGATAAGTGTTGCCACTGTGTGAAATGGGAGACTTTAAATTTATCTTCAGTACATCCTTGTATGCAGTTAGATCTCAGTGTGTTGCCAATAACAGAGAATAAGATCTTTTAATTTATCTCACCAATTTAACCAGTCTATTACTGATTAACAAAGTAAATAATTAAAGAGCAATACTCAATTTAAATCTTCTACTTTTTTAATAACATACCTAATTATATTAAATACTAAAACACATTTAATTCATTACATATCCAACTGATATTTTTTATGAATATTTGCAATTCTGTTACAATGAATATACATGTCTCTAATGTCATATATTGTATGTAAATACATTTTTAAATTCTTGAAACTAAGTGGTATTTTTTTTAAAGGTGTTAGACTGTGATCTAAAGTTTGCAGCTTTTTTGTTTTGAATATGTTGCCCACAATAGATATTGGTTTTCAAGAAAAGATTTCATGTAAAGCTGAAGATTTTTATATATTACAGTAAACATGCATTTGGTTAAATTGAGATGCAAAAATATTATTTGAGAAGAAATTAAACATATCACAACTTAATAATAAAGAATGATTCCTGATTTACCTGAATTTTACGAACAACTACAGTGTTCTGTGGAATTCCACAAATATTTGATGGTAAGCTAATGTCTGAGACTGGACTCACAATTGAACTGGTACATTCTGTCTTATGATTTACAAAAACATCAATGGATAGGAACTGTTTCTTACATTTGCCACACTGGAATACATCACTATCATCTAAAACAGCTCCTGAAAATTAATAGGTTCTTTTTACACACATGCAAAATAATTTACTTACAAAGTAGTCTCACTGCATGTAAATAACAACAGATTTGAAGAAAACAGGCAATAGAAAAATAGCAAAAAGGGGAAAAAAAATAGTAGATAGTTCTTCAGAAAAAAGTCAATAAAACTTAATAAATTAATATTTATACATGACACATTAGTTTTACTGTTATTTCAATATTGTAATCATTATATCAGTCTTCAAAAAAAAGTCAATAAAACTTAATAAATTAATATTTATACAGGATACATTAGTTTTACTGTTAATTCAATATTGTAATCATTATATCAGTACTGCATTTCATCACTTGCTATATACTTTGTACCTGTAATAAACATTAACATACAGTAAAGCAGAATTATAACTTGATTGAAAGGCCTCTAAGATTTATGGTCATTTATACCTCACTGACATTGAACTGTTCATGATTTTAAAAGACAATAAAGGTATATAAGTAACATTAAACAAACATATTTTACTTTCCATATAAATATACTAAATTCATTGACAAAAAAACAGTAAATAATATAATAATTTAAAAACAATATTTCAGATTACCATTTATAGTTCTATGAGATAAATTTGAATGAAGAAAGAATTCTCTTTATTGAAACAAATTCAAAATTACATCACTTATGGATGAATTATCTTCAAAATATTATATTCTCATGTCTAAGAATGTACACTATTTATTTATGATACTGTTTTTAAATGTCCTTTTCAGCATGTTTGGAATGTTTACTTTTAAAAACAGGTTCAAATGCAAAACACACCTAGTTATATGAAATTGCAAAATTTTCTCATTAAGCTGTAACTATACAATTTTTTTTTCATGCTAAAATTTTATTTTGCACTGCAATATATTTATTTAAAGGTGATTTTTAGCTAATATAAATTCTAGAATAATTTTCTCCTATAATTCATTTATGCAAGAAATTCAAGTCTTTTTTAATGTTAAAATTTCTGTCTAAAAAATTTATGCAATGCAATGAAATTTTTTAGTCTTATAAATTTACAAATATTAAAAAAATTCAGCTGCCACGCAAACTGACTTGCATGTAGCTCAGTTTTCTTACTGCACCTCAAAAGGCAGAAACAGACTTTTAATATTATATTAAATTATTAAACTTTGGCATATTTTTTAAATGACTTTTGGGCTCATTTCAGATACTCGGGCTCTTGGCTGAATTTGGTGATTTTTTTTGGCCGCCATCTTGGATTTCAAAAATGCTCCAAGAAGCGCATTTTGAAATCCAAGATGGCGGCCAAAATTGTTATTCCTCTCCGAGGGAAAATAATTCTGAACTACCAAACATTATTTATAAGCAAGTAAATCTATCATTTGGCCAATTTCAATTCAATAAAGTTAACTAATTTTCATAACCTATTTTAGTTTTCTTTATTCTGCAGCTAATCAAAACCATTATTAACCCGGTGGAAGTCGCACCAAGAAAGGTTACTAGAGTGGGCGCGTAGGGTATCACATACCCCAATATTTAAAATACAATAAAAATAGTATTATTTAGTTTTAAAAACTTTTTTTTTTTTTTTTTGTTCTCGTGTATTATAAATAAGTGAATAACAATTGGGTTTCAAAAAATTTTTTCCGAAATAATCTTAGAATTAAATTAAGATAAATGAAAATAAAACATCATGCCTCTAAGTTTCATTGCATCTCTAATACAACCATGCTTATTTTATTTCTTCCACTTTGAACGAAATACATTCATGTGTTCTTGGCACAGAATGTTTTTCACATTTTAAACACTGCATTCACGTTCTTCTGTCCCTGGCGCGAGGGCAAAAAATTTAACACATCTTTCATACTTAGTTGTTTCGAATTTCATGTATTCGTTTTAATTCTTCATCGAAACTTCTGCTTTTGTTTTGCATGCAGTACGTCAATTTCTTGGAAAAGTATTAATCTCTGATCTTTGTTCAATACTTTTTTTCATTAATTGTAATGCTAAGTCCTTCTGTTTCTTGTTGGTGGATTAGCAGTTGAATGTAATATAATTTAAGCATTTATTACAGCAACATTCAGTGCAGGAAAGAAAATTACCATTGGCGAACTTGTTATTCTGGCAATTGAATAATTGGCTGACATTTCATCCCCCATATCCACTGCTCCTTTAGTTATATTATTAAAACATATAATTCCTGACATTTCATTTTCTCCAATAGTATCATCTATAGTATGATCGTTATAAATTTGAAAGCATAAGAAAAAGTTTTTCCTTTTTAGGAACATCAGGAATTAATGTTTTATCTTTTTCGAAACCAAACATTGTAGAAAATATCTTAGTTTCATCTTTCAGTTTCCGAAATGCAATCTTCATTGCTTTCAAATATTTCTAATACATTTCACATGCGTTGCAATCTCTAGTTCATTCTTTTTACCATAATAGCATTTAGAAATTTTTAAATTTAATGTCAAGTACTTTAAAATCACTTGCGAGTAGAAATATTACTGTTACACTCTAGAAATAAATTTCTGAACTAAATATTTAGTCAGAAAAACACTTACACGGACAGGCGCGTGGGGTGTGTCATACCCCAGTTCCAACAAAATACCGATGAATCTTTTTCTGAAACACACAGGCAAAGAAAAAGCGGTTCAGAAAGTCCATCACAACTAGAAACTCAGCTACTGAAAGCAGCACAGAATTTCAGTTTCAGAAGTTAGGAATATTCCACTTTTATGTAGGGTTGGGGTATGATACACCTCAAGCGCCTTCCCGCGGGTTAAAGAGCGATTACTGCACATGATTGTTATGAAATATATCACATTTGCATTTTTCAGCTTTGCTACTCTTTAACTTTAACAAGTTTATATTTAAGTACTAAAATATAATACAGTTATATCTCTGAAGTTATATGATAGGTGTTACATATATGTGGCAACACACTAGTTGCTGGTCGAATTGAAATGAAGTAATTGTCAGTTGATGTTGATTCGTAATAAACGATGTGCTATGTGAACCTGTTGTAATGTCGTTAATTATAGATCAAGAAATATTAATATGAGTATAACATGGCGTAGTCGTGTGGAGTAGTATTATAACTAATTGCCAGGCGATCCCTTTGGTTGTTTTTCCTCTCAGCAGACACAAGATGGAATTTTGTCGCCCACCACAAGGTCTAAGTTTTGACGGCAATGTGGCCGAAAACTGACGCAGATTCAAGCAGCTGCTCCAGATTTATATGAAAGCACCAGGAAATACATCAAAAGATTCAGATGTGAAAAAACTTGTAAAATCTTGTGAATTTGGTGTGCAGAGTGACTCTTGTACATGATCGCATTGTCCTTGGAGTATCAGATGCCAGTTTACAGGAGAGGATGTTGCGAGAATAATCCGAGTTTGGAAAAAGCAATTGAATTACAGAAAGCAGCTGAACTGAGCAAAGTTTGTGCTGAAATGTTAAGAGAACACAATGTTGACAGCATAACAAAAGGAAAAGTGAAGCAACATCAGGCAGGAGGAGCCAATGCAGCCATAGCAGTGAGAAAGCGCAGAGGATGGCGTGATGCTGCTTCAAATACTGAGACGTTTTCGTGTAAAAAATGCAACAGACATCATGTTAATGAACCATGTCCGGCATATAGAAAAAAAAAAAAAAAAAAAAAAAAAAAGCTTTAATTGTGGCAAACTAAGTCACTTTCCGACTGTGTACAGACTGAAGCACGTCCAAAATGTTTCTCAGCATGGTAACGCAGATTTATATAGTGAATCCAATGATGAATACTTTGTGAATTCCATAAATGTTCAAAAAACTAAAAGTGTGTGCTCAACATCGTCTACAAGAGTGGACTAAAACTATGATTGTTGAAGGAAAACCTGTGACTTTTAAGTTGGACACAGGGTCTGAAGTGAATGCTTTGCCTGTGAAAATTTACGAAACACTGAGTGCTAACTCTGATCTTATTTTAAACAAGTGTAATGTTGTATTAGAAGCATTCGGGGGTCCAAGGTTAAACCTGATGGGTTGTTAATGTTACAATGTTCCTCAGATAGTGAGGATCATACTCTAGAGTTTTTAATTGTTTCTAGCAAGCATATATGTACATTATTAGGAATTGATGCATGTGTTAAACTTAATTTGATTCAGTTTATAAATAAGGTTGGAATATCAAGTAAAGGTAAGTTGGATCAGTATACAACTGTTTTACCTCCATCTAAAGATCAATTTATTATTAATAATTAATTCAGAAGTGTTTGAAGGTGTGGGAAAATTTAATGGATTATGTAAAATCATAGTAGATGATCAGATAGCTCCTGTAGTGAGACCACCATGTAGAGTACCACTTAGTTTAAAACCTAAATTAAAATCAAATGAATTAGAAAGACAGGGCATTATTGCAAAAGTTGATCAACCTTTAAACTGGGTTAGCAATCTAGTAATAATTGAAAAAGCTAATGGATCTTTAAGAATATGTCTCCATCCTCAAGATCTTACTCAACAAAGCTATAAAAAGAGAACATGCGTTGATTTCAACGATTGAGAAGATTTTACCAAAGCTATGTAATAAATCAATTTACTCTGTTTTGGACTTAAAGGATGGGTTTTTCAAATAGCATTAGATAGGGAGAGCAGTGATCTTTGTACTTTTAGCATACCATTTGGATGCTATAAATTCTTAAGGTTTCCAATGGGTATTTCCTGTGCACCTGAAATTTTTCAGAAATACAGGAGTATTGATCTATTTTGATGACATCCTCATTACCGCTAGCCCCATACAAGAACATGATAAAATTTTAACAGAGGTCATTAACAGAGCTAAAAGAAAACTTAATATTAAATTCAACAAGCAAAAACTTCAATATAGGGTTAGTGAGGTTAAATATTTAGGCCATTTATTTAATGTATCAGGCATGCGACCTGAAGCCATTACTGAGTTACAGGAACTTCAGAATACGCATGAATTACAGCGTGTGTTGGGAATGTGTAATTATTTGAGGAA